AAAAGACTTTTCCAACAAATCTCTCTTTGCACATGGTTGACTTCCATTAATATGGTTGGAAGAACGTTTGTTTCGGATTTAATTTTGCTCCTTTTGACGATTTGCAAGAGAAAGATGTTTTCTTACAAAATGGGTTACTAATCTATCTTTGATAATTTCTAAGACTTTACTAATACCGTGAATTTTAAGTTCATAGATCCTAAATGTTTTAAACGAAATGCAAATTAAAATAGATTTGCAAAAGGTAAATACATCTTGATTAAAACTACTACGTTCAAAACCAGATTAACTTATGTTTATAAATAGATTTGCAAATTAACCTACCTTAGAATTGAAAATTTAAAACTAATTAACCAAAGATACTAACATGGAAAACAAAACAAAGAAAGAAGCGAGAACACCACAGAGGTAATCATTTTATGAAAAACATTACTCACCAAAAACTTAAAATAAACAATGATCAGAATGAAAAAAAATAGTACCTTGTAGAAATTAAAATACTTACTTTCCATTATATGAGATGCAGTTGTAAAAGTGAATACAAGAACTAATTTAACTATTTTAATATTGAAGACAATCTAAAATCTACAAAGTATTGTGCTACAGATGAAATCTATAAGTTAAAGCAAAAATCTAAAAATGCTAAAACTTGTTCTGGGTTGTGAATTGGGCTAGCCGTCATGTCTTGAATAATCTAAAACTTTTTTTTCTATGCTTCCTACAAATTATCCTTCCATTTCACTCGTTGGCTGTTACATATCATGGAAAATTTCTCAAAAGAAAAAAAAAATAATGGGTACATCAACAAGACCAGATCAAGGCTGCATTAGATCTTATCACCTGTACCATTCTACCGCTATCTCAACTCCTCAATTGCACCTCCTCAATTATAGAAATTTCTATTTCTTTTGAATTTAAACTGCAACTGATAGTCTCCACCGTTCCTCAAAATCAAATTTTATAAATCTAAATCTCAGCAATAAATCTGATTTGACTCATCTTATCCATTAATACGTGGTATCATTTAAAAAATTATAATTTATGGTGTAAACAAATTGTTTGAGAAATTTTCCCATTGTACCTTTCAAGAAGGGGTAGATTGGTCATAAAGGAAAAATAAAAATCTATCCATTGAAATTGGGAATAAATTAAACGAAAGATTTACACTTGATATCCTAATTAATACTCCATATCCTGTGGCCATAACCCTTTAATAAATTATCAAATATTAGTAAGGAAAATAATTTAGAGAAAAATTTTTATATTATCTTCTTTTTTTCTTTTTTTTTTATTAGGGCAACTGGTTCTAGCACAAGGGTGGGGAAAGGGATCGAACCCTTACCATGGTAAAGAAGGCTTACATTAAGCTGTTGAGCCACTAGATCGGTAGGCCTTCTTTTTTTACATTATCTTTTTATATAACTTATGTGTCATTTAAATGATTTGCTTTTTTTATTGGGTGGTACTATAAGGACAACCTTTTTGTCCTACATTTTTATACAACTTTCACGTGTCATTAAATGAGTGGATGCATTCAATATTACAGGTCTCACATGAATTAAAAGAACCAATCATTTTAATGACATATCAAGTTGTACAAAAAGGTGGGACAAAAAGATTATACAAAAAGTATTTCTCTTTTTTATTCATTTGAAACCTATAATATTAAATACATCCACTCATTTAATAATACGTGAAAGTTGTATAAAAAAGTAATACAAAAAGATTATCCCCGTATCACTGCCTAATACACTTTAAATATATTTGAATAAATTCACAAGTAGTTTTGATATTTTAAATATTAAGACATTTTGATTTTTCTTTTCTGGTATATTTTTTAAAAATCCATTGTTTTACATTTTAAACTATAATAAACTACAAAACAAGAACTTTTAGATGAGAAGATAGTCCCCCATATTGAGAGACTTACCTTCATTTAAGGGTTTATATTTTACAATCCTAATTATAAAATAGTTTTTTTTAAAATTTTTAATTCTTTATAAATATATGGATATAAAAGAAATACAAAATTAAAAGTACAAAATTTAAGAGTAAAATTAATGTTTATTTTAGACGTGACAATAATCCTACTTCTAATTGGGACATACCCTTCCAATTGGGACAACTATTTTCTTAGAACCTCCTGTGGAGTTGGCCACCGTCCTGTTTGGGGATCGCATCGGTGTTTCCTCTTTGCGCCATTAGTTTCATTTTGTATTAGTGCCCAAGCATTAAAAAAAAAACCCCACTTCTAATTACATAGACTGCACCACATAATACAAAATCTCCTTCTTCCTAAATCATTTGTTAAAATAGGAGAGTGTGGGTCAATGGGTCATGGTTCAATAAATTTTATAATGTTTAAATTATAGAAGGTTGCTTCATTAATTTCATAGTTGAGAACGCACCTCTTAATACTCCACCATTTATGCCTGAAATTACAATTTTGAAATTAGAAATAAAAAAAAAAAGTTGACTCAGTGAATGGAGAACTGACTTGCGTCAACGTTTGCTCTTACAGTAAGCAAAAGACTCAAACGTCCAACAGTTGATCCCCACGTTAGTGTCCAAGACCCTCGGTCAAGTGAAAATCATATTTTGTGGATTGCATGTTCAAATTCCGTGGATGACATTTCTTCCTCCCTCAAATTATTGCTCTTGGTCAAAGAGAAAAAGAAAAGAAAAAAAAGTCCAACACTTAATGGCTTACCGGCCACACCTCATTGGAGTTGTGGCTATGGCTATTAATTGTTTTTGTTAAAATCACTAAAATTTAATTTATATTTATTTAAAAAAAAAATAAATAGTTTTGATGTCTAACTAATAATTTGTTGGTCTGAATAAAATAAATTTTATTTTTTAAATAAAATTTCAAATTTAAATATTAAAAATAAAAAAAAATAAGTGTTGAAATAGTTTCTCTCTTCATGGGTCATGGCAACTCAACTTTAAATTAATCATCATTTAATGTG